AGTGATTTGTCTGTAAATGTAACATGTTGCCACATGTATTCCATGTATATGATTATGTTAACAAATTAAATACCCTTGCAAAGTATAGATTTCAGTCATGCCTTCCATTTTATTTGGTGTAAAACTCCAATAATTCTTTGCAAAAACATTTGATGTTGTTTATTTCTTTTCCATTCCTTAAAAGCTTTTTAACTTAACTCAACATGATGGCGATCTCTTTGTATTTATCTCTCCTCCCCTCTCTCTCTCTCTCTCTCTCTCTCTCATCTTTCTAATATCCATCAATCCACTGGCCTCTCCTCTCTTTCTTTCTCTCTGTCTCTTTCCTTTTTAACAGAACCAGGTACCAGTATTTAGAACAGGGTTCCCACCCTGGGAAAGTTGGTTACTTTTTTCTTTTTCTTTTCTTTCTGCTAAGTAATGGAAACTGTGAGGGAAGGTGGAGGCCGCCACCACAAACATGAAAATATATATATCACTGCTCTTTTTTGATAATGGTTCTTGGAAATTGGTTCTCATTTCTGTGGGAACCCTGTTAGTGTTGAAACACTTGTATCTCCATTACTACCCTATATTCTTCAACACCTGCACTCTGCAAGCCGATGACTTGCCAATGTTCAACATTATTCGCATCCCACAAACTACAAAGCATCCGAAAACAGAGCCTTCATCAAATGTACAAAACATGATCATGTTTATTAAATGATATACACTTGAGCATCAAGACAAGTACAAGTACCTATGTACACAATATACAGAGAAGATAACAATCATGAGTTGATGAAGCAGCCATTACAATGCTTACATGTACTTTCTTGTTTTGTTGAAAAAAGTGTCTTATCAGCCTTAAACTCAACGGTCCAAAAATGCCCAGAAAATTCAATTACTAGAAGCAAAAGCATGATAAGTACCCCACTTACATTGCCGAACCGACTCCAAACGGACTCCAGACGGACTCCAGACAGACTGTTCCTTGGTCAATTGTTATGTAAATTATAACGTTTTGGGGTTATAATTTACATCGCTGTGATTGAGGTATATGTACAAGGTTCTATGACATATTAAACAAGTCGATAAGCAATGGGAACTGTGTGACTTATCCAAGGACTTGCGATCGGTCACAACTCCTAAGCCTAGACTAATGAGCCATTCGGTGGGATCATGTCATTTGGGCTGATGAAAACCATATGAAATTTGATATATGAATGAACAAACATAAACAACTCGATGAACAAACATAAACAACTCACTGAACAAACATAAACAACTCAGAGACTTTTGGATTCTTCCAAAACACAACAATAATGATACAATAATAATAGTAACAATATTAATAAGATCAATTTTTGTTTACCTGTTCTTTCTGAGGGTACCCATTTTCACCTGGTTGGTAGTGCCGGACTGAGATGCGAACCCTCAACCCTTAGATTTAGAGTGGAGAGCATGAACCACTATACCACAACACCTCCACACAATTATACAACGCTGTTCAGGTATTCTATTCACAGCTTAAAGTGTGTACCTGTAGTCTCAAGCACCCTGTACAGCTATCAAATGGCAAGAAAATAACTCTTAAGTGTCGTGCGGGGCTCTACATCAATGATGGGCGCTTGGTCAGCATGGGCACGTCAATTTTTCAGCGTCATGCCCCCCAACCCCCTCCAAGTTTCTAAAACGTTTTTGGGGGACGGGGCATACATGTACAGACTCTACAAATGTCAATCCAGACCCCAGCCCTGCAAAAGAAAAAGGAGGTACGGAGCCCTGTCGTAATGAACATCAGTTTTCTACTTACATCCAGCGGTAACAACAACTAATTCATTTTTAAAAATAAATACAAGAAAACATGCCTAGCAAGAAAATACAAAATAGACATAACTGTATTAGTCTTTTTTCAAGTACCTGTCATTAATGCCATTGCTTTTTCTTGAATCGTTATTTTTGTAAGACATAATAAAAATGTACACTGTAGCACCTAAACTTTACCACTATATTACAAGGAATGGCATTATTCAGTAAGAAGATGTGTGCCAATACTTGAAACTCATAACTTCTAAATGAAGTATAGAATACAAATTCAAATGCCATACGCATAATGACATAAAGAACACAAACTCACTGTTATTTAACATTTGTTTTAAATCTGAAAGAATAACATTTTGTTCAGAACTCAAACTCCAACGTTTGAATATGCAGCATTTGCAACATGACACATAATGGCATATTACCGGTACCTTTAAAGGGAAGGTCTACCCTGATATCAAATTGGTTTTTATAGAAGCAGAAAAATGAGAGAAACAGGTCAGTGAATGTTTAGCAAAAATTGTTGAAAATTAGAAAGTCACAAGTTTTTTAAGGTGAGATCAATTAAACACAAATTGACAACTCTGTGACGTATCTTGTGACCTCCCCTCCAATTTGACCTGTACTAAAAAACTTTCAAAACTTAATATTTCCCCTAAGAAAATTTTAAATCATACATTCACCCAGAATATAATTGCATGTTTTTATATGACCCCTGTTTGAAACAAATCTATTGTCATCAATAAGTAAGAAAATGAAAGTTTATGACATTTCTGTTTTGTTTAGACGGTATATCACGGAAATCAAACAGTCTTGTCAATCTGTTCCATAAAATAACTTTTAAAATCCCATTGAAAACTCAAAAAAACAGGGGAGCTGAAAGCCTTCTGAATTTCTTGAACGTAAAATTGTCCATCTCTTTGCAAATCATCATCTGCCAATTGAAGATCAATTCAAGCTTCTCTTTTTCATCTTTGTAAACACTTACTTTCTTTGTTCAATTGAATGGAGACCATTACCATCAAATGTGTACACATACAACAGAAACAAATCCTAAGTTTATCACAGGCTAGATAAATACACATACCAATGGAACAGACAACTTTTCTCTTGTAACTCCTACAAATATTTCCAGATTTAGTTGCACGTTTATGATTTTGGCAAATATCTACAACCAATGTACATTTGCGTCACAAAAAGACTACTGCATACACAACTTTCAATGTTGTTCACTTTTCTGAACAAGCAACACCATCAATGCCAATGATTGCAGTCACAGGATTGACACACGAACATTAAAACAAAAATTACAGGCATTCTAATGCCAACGGCCTTCTGCTTACCACAATAGTGTGTAGCACAACAGCACAATGAATTATAGTTATGGCAACAACAAATATCTTGTGTAGCACTCATATACATGTAAACAATAATCTGTGAACATGGCATTGTCTGTATTCAGAAGTTCAAATGACACAGACACGTTGAGGAAGCTATATAAGTTGACGTGATTGAGCAGTAAATCATTCACTGGCAGTACATTCATTTTCCACTGACTATACATGAACAGTTTGCATCATATTTTTCCCCCTCAATTTTAAGTCGTGTAAGACATTAATAAATCTAGGTAGTTGTAGTAAAATTAGCTGCATAGCATGTAAGGTAGTCTACATCATTTACGATACAAATACTGTATAATTCTAAGTGGAAGTTGTTGCATTTCATGCAGGAATACTAAAACAAGCTGATTTAACCTGAAGTAATCAAGTTTGATAAATAATCTTCAGTCCTTGGAAGCAGGCTGGGCCTGTGCATTTCATTTCGCCAACGATGAACTCTCAAACTGCCATGAAAGTTGGAAGAATTGTTTTATTGTACATAGTGGGTCAGAGCATCGCCAACAATAACATACAAGCCTGGATGTGCTATTAAACAGGAAACAAAATGAGTGGAGACTTAAACCAGACATTAATAATTGAAAACGAGAAAAACGGTTTCTTGTCTTATTAAACCGTGAGTATTTTGAGCGGGGCTCAACACTACAATGTAACAGGGGCCTGGTACGTATGGGCACCCACAATCTATGGCTGGACCTGCCTCCCCCCCTATTTGGACATTTTTAAAAGGGATCGTCTACTCATTAAACGATCAAACGGCAACCCCTAACAAAACAGTCAGTGTTGAGCCATGATTTTGAGCACCGCGGCATGTCACTTTAAACCAACATGGAAAGTATATTTTAGAGTACAGTACAAAGTTTAACAAACTATTTACAATACACATAATACTGGAATAGGTAGTCATGAAACCATTCGTCAAAAACTCTTTTCTTTTTAATTAACGGGACTTCTTTTTGAGTTTCCAAGACATAGCATTGCATCGATAAACTAATGCTGTTTTGTCGTGATTCATTCTGGGGCAATTCATCATGTTTTCATACATTTTTTTGGCAAAAGTTTAGAAATCCCATACAGCCATAATTATGAGTGTAAGCAGGGCATGATGCTAACATGTGCCAAGGATTAAAGGGCATCCAATATCACAAACATGTGTTAATCTTATTACACATCATTTAATGTGATGTCCGAGAAGTTTTGACTTAAACCTGCATCTTCCTAGTGGGTGGAAACTTTGAATCCTTGTTTAATTCATTTTCAAATATTTCTCAACAAAAATGGTTCAAACTGAAGAGGTTAAAAACAAAAATTGTCTGTATTAGTGTATTAAAACAAAACAGTGGGCTACAAATGGCTAAAAACGCAAATTTATATTTTGCAAGAATATGAAACTTTGAATTGAAAATTCACAAATACCATTGGGGAAATGGTTATAGTCAGAACTCTCCATATTAAGTAGTTACAGTGGTATCACAAGAATAAATTCAAATACCGGTAAGGATAAATGCTACCAACAATGACAAATACCAGTCATCTGAACATAATAATGATCAAAACACAACCCAGGTGTAAATCTAGGTAAATAAAATGAAACGATGAAGACGTGTTCTTCATTTTTGCCTGTACTCTATTTGTTTTTGTTACTGATAATGTTGATCCTTTCGGCCACCCATAATCTTGTTGTTTTGACAACGGGCCCAATGGCACACAACAGGGCCACCTCCATGTACTGTACATGTATAAATACATGTAACGGTCAAGCTAACTTCGGGGACCTGTTTCACAAAGCCTTTTTTCAATGACAAATGACAAAAATCAGTGACAAATCAGTTGATAACCAATCAGATGCAAGGATTTCAGTAGCTTATAACAAAAACTGTCATTTGTCACTGATGACGAGTTTTGTAAAACGTCCCCCAGCACTACGCCGAACTCGGCAATACGAGGTGATAAGGAGTCACACCTGGAAGTGGATACTACTCAAACCGACCAATGAAATAGCCATAAATTTCATATTTTATAGCATTTTACCCCCTAAAATTGTCAACCTAACCTTTCTAAGAATAGATTTTTACACATTTTATGTATTTCCATCAATCATCTGTTAGGGGCCAGAAGGGTGTAAACTTTGTGTAAAACAATTAGAGTTAATGCCCTTCTGGTTCTAATCAGATAAAACAATCTTGAATTTGACTGTTCTAAATACGTACTTCATGCACAAATATAGGCATGCGTTCGTGATCAATTCAGTTTTCTCGCACAATCTAGCCAAAATTCCTCCCAGTCCAAGTTGACCTAGGGACCAAGTTTGCCACGATCGGTGTACAATTTAGTGTGCTATGTGTCATTCTGATAGAGTGCCTTAACATGAGTTCAGAGCCAGAAGGGCGTTAACTCTGTGGTATAGTACATGAGCTACTGCCCTTGTGGCTCCAAACAGAGGTTTATGATCCCTGAGAGTCAAGCATGATGGTATGATCCAAAGAGCTGCTAACACCGCGATAAATCCTTAATGTGCAGAAAGATAATAAGTTGTCTGGTGTGAACACATCCACAGTTCCTACAGGTTCACATATGATTTGACATGGTATTGTTCACACCACCCAATCCTGGATGCTCTAAAATGATTCATTGATGTTCACACATGACCTAGCCTGGAAAAGGCTTGTTCATACTCTAGAATACAACATATAGATGTTATCGATGTGCTGTGTTCACCACTGACGTGGCCTTGTGCCGTTCTCACTCATTGCTTCAAAGTGACGAAACATGGCTAGGGGATGTTCACACATGATCTTACGAAGCCATGTGCTGTTCACACATGATATAACACCACTATGTGTTATTTACACATGAACTTACGAAGCCACATGCTGTTCACACATGACATAGCACCACTATGTGCTGTTCACACATGATCTTACGAAGCCACGTGCTGTTCACACATGACATAGCACCACTATGTGCTGTTCATACATGATGAAGCGAAGCCATGTGCTGTTCACACTCCTCCTGGCTAATGAAGAGCCGATCGCACGGTGTGCACTCAAAGCTGCTGAGATGCCCCAGATGTTTGGCTTTCATATGAATCAACAAACTCACTCTTGTCCTGTAGCCCATCCCACAGACCTTACACGCAACAATCTCATGGAAACGCGTTGATCTCCCCGCCCCTGCTTCGCCCGGTGGTGAGTTCGGAGGGTCATCTTGACCCCCTGCGGCAGGACTGGGAGTGGCGGTGGCGGCTATGGTATCTTTGGTTTTAGAGGGGGGCAGGAGGATGCCAGCTTGGAGGCACTTCTCGCCTCCTTTCTTGGATTTGTTCACACACAGACGGCAGAGGACGGCGGCGGCAGGGTTTTCTTGGTTTGCTGACTGACTGCCTTCAGTCAGTGGGTCGATGAACTCCTGACCACATGCGCTGCACACTCGGATTAGGAAGCGCCCTGTTCACACAAACAAAAATAAGATATTAGGAATCAAGATATACAGTCAAACCTGCCTTCATGGCTACCTGTCACTAGTAGTCAACCAATTTGCTCCCCTGAAGATAGAAATGCATATTAAAGAACCTGTCTAAAAGGGCCACCTGTCTACAATGGCCACTTTTTGTGTTTCCATTAAGTGGCCTTAACAGAGAGGTCTGACTCTATATGTTCAAGTTCGTTTATTTACACTTATCATTAAAAATACAAGAACATATACAATTAAATACGGAATAGTCACACATAAAATATCATACATTCAACAACAAAAAACAAAAAAACATAACATTATGGGAGTGAAGGGATGAGCTAAAATGGAGTATGGTCCTTATGCTAGAGCCCATCCCTCATTATAATATAAATAAAAGGCAAATTAAATGTTGTACGATTGGAAGCATGAAAAAATGAGGGAAAACAGGGGGGGGGGGTAACGAGCCTGGTGAGTTATAGCACGTAAGATTCAATTAAATACATTTTATATTTTTGTTTAAAAGTTTGAAGACTTTCGCAATTTTTTATATTTATTGGAATGGAATTCCAAATTTTTGGACCATCAAAAGATATTGATTTTTTCATTAAAGTTGTTTTAATTTGTGGTAGGTGGAAATTAGATGCATTTCTAGTTTCATAATCATGAAAAGTCAAATTAAAATTAAAATACTTTAGAAGTGCACATAGTAAAGATTCATTTCGACACAAGTACATAAAGACTGCAATATGATATTTACAGATATCAAATACATTAAGAAGCTTTAATTTATAAGATATAGGTTTCGAATGAGCTCTGTAGTGTGAATTTGAAATTACCCGATGCCGGATGGCTTTCTTTTGCATTTTGAGTACCCTATTCAGATTGGTTTGGCTTGTCATGGCCCATACTTCAGAACAGTAATATAAATGAGGAAGAATTAAAGTATTATATAAAATTCTTAAAACACATTTTGGTAAAAATCTAAGTTTGTTTAGGATGCCAGTATTTTTTGAGATTTTGAAAATGAAAATGAAAATGCTGAAGGTAAAATAAAGTTCATTTTAAACTGGTAGTCTTAATGTACAGGTTCTCTAGGCTCCAGACATGCTGCAATATGAAAAGCATAATGCGCTGATTACGGTTGCAAGAACTAAAGCCTGGGTCGTAATACCTAGACTTCTTTGATAGCAGATCGGGATGTTATATAATAATGTGATAATCAGCCTACCTTCTGATACATTCTTCTGTTTGTTGACAGCTTCGGAGCCTTGATCGCCAGAATCTAAAAAGATGGAAAGATGAAGGGTTCACGTCAGTAGTACCAAGGAACCAAAGTGCTAACATCATATTCGCTCGTTGTCTAGGTTACTCGTTCCAAACAACAGAGCCTGCCCACGAGGTTCACCGCAAAATCATTCAAGCAACATCCTGGAGCATGGAAAATTCAATGTTTGGGGCTGGTGTGATCACCATGCCATTGTTCAGCGCAAGATTGTTTTGAACCGGCAACCTTGACAATTGGCTAGTATGACGTCACACGACATAAACATTTTTTTTATTAAAAAAAAAAACTTTTATTGGATACATCTTGGACAGATAATATATGTAATAACCATTATGAGTTTCTATTTTGAATTGCTTTGGTACAATACAACTAACCTTAAAGCCCCACTGTACTACTTTTAGCTACTTGCTCCCTCTGTACAGAAAACTATGCCTAATTGGTGACCGTTGGTCCCCCATGATCCCCTTTTCTTATGTTAATTGAGAGCTGAGTTGATGATATAACCACCTGTCAGTGACCACGCTGTGTGGTCTAATCCCTCCTAGCCAAACTAGTACTGACGGGCTTTAACTGAACTTTGTTTCACTTACTGGTTGAAACCTTCACCATGTCCTTTTCCCTCCTTGGAGATTCCTTGGTTTGAGCACCTGAACTGTGTCTCCTCTTTTCACCCGAGCTTGTTCTAACCCTCTTCGGGGTGGCTTTAGTTCTCACTGTCTCATCCCCTCTTCCATCCACGTCCTCATCAAACTCCGCCCCATCCTCAAAGTCCAAATCAATCTTTTTATGTCGACTCCTCCTTGAGCGTCTGCTCCGACTCAGCTCATCGTCGTCATCTTCATCATCGGACGAGTTAGAATCGACTTCGATGTCGACCTCCTCGGACAAAGCCTCTCTCCATTTGGTTCTCGCCCGCTCCCGGACACGACTCCTGCCATCGTCACCGTGGTCGTGGTCGTCGCCTTCCTCGTCGTTGGAAGTGTCATCGGAATCACCGGAGTCGTCACTGGACTCGTCCTCCTTCCAATCCATCGCTTCTTTAGATTCATCGGTGCTTCCATCTCCGCCTTCCCCGTAGATGGAATACTTGATTGGTCGATGCTGCCTTTTCCTTCTTACGTAAGGAATGTTGCTGGGATCTGAAAGCAATGTAAAAATAAATTATATATCTATCTGTGAGATCTAATGTCTCTGTATGAGATCCTTCATATCCTATATGATGTTGTGTGTGTCCTGTATGACATACATTGTTATGTACATTAAATACTCCTATGCACAAGATAAAGGGTCACACAGACTAGGTAGCTACTATGCGAGCACCTTTGTATGTGAGGTCCTATCATGAGTACTGTATTATACAAGATCCTGTGTTTCCTAAATAAGGTCCTGTTCGTCTTTTATGAGATCATGTGTCCTATGATAGGTCGTAAGTGTCCTATACGAGTTCCAGTGTAATAAATGAGGTCCTATGTGTCTTATATGGTGTCTTATGTGGACTTACCCTGCACACTATCCCTGCACAAAATACAGAGCCACTCTGTTTCTGGCGGACTCTTCACGTCCACACAGCGGAAATGATACCACTCCACCGAGCAGTCTCTACCATCGCATGCTATCCTCTGGTATTATTAGATCCTGTGTTTCCCATATAAGGTCCTGTTTGTCTTATGTAAGGTCATGTGTCCTATACGAGTTCCAGTGTAATAAATAAGGTCCTATGTGTCCTATATGGTGTCTTATGTGGACTTACCTTGAACACTATCCCTGCACAAGATACAGAGCCACTCCGTCTCTGGTGGACTCTTCACGTCCACACAACGGAAATGATACCACTCCACCGAGCAGTCTCGACCATCACATGCTATCATCCGGTCCCAGGAGTTGGGCTGGCCACAGGGACATAGACCTGCTTCCTCTTGCTGCGGCTTCTTCATCCTCTTCCTCTTCAATTCTAGTTCTTTCTTCTTCCTTCGCTGTTCTTTCCTTCTCTCCTTCTTCTTTCTCAAGGTTTCAGCTGCTTCTGTTTAAAGAGAATGACTTTGGATTAGAGACTAACATTCTGGAAGAATCGGCATGAGGACATACTAAATGGAATTAAAATCAGGACTGAGGAGGCTAATATATGAATATCCTAATAGTCAAACTTGTCCATAAAGGCCACACGGAGGAAAAAGAAAAAGTGTCCCCTGTAGACAAGTGGCTTTTAAAGACAGGTTCTACAATACACATTCTTTTCTCAAAGCAGCTTAAATAATTTGCCACTATAGACAGGTGGTCTTTATAGAGAGGTGGCTACCAAGGCAGATTTGCCTGCATTCAAGTTGAATAGCCACATTTTGGTGCATAATGGTTGCTATGGTCAGCTTAACTAGATGTCCTATCAAGGACATCCTGGGAGAATAATATGAAAGGGCTTTTGGGCTTCTTAATTTTAGAGCAAACAATACAAAAACAATAGGAACTGGGGTGATTACATCCAAAGATAATGTTAAAAATGGAAAATTTCACCTTTTTTTTTTGAAATTCTTACTTTTTCAATTGGAATTTTTGATGATAGTTTGTCTTCGTCGACACCAAAGGTAGGATCACATGAAAGGGGCTTCTGTCAAGATTGCCATCTTACCTTTTGAGCAAAAAGGACAGAACCACTCATCCTTTGGCACCTTAGTGACCCCTACACATGTAAAGTGGTACCACTCTATCTCACACTGTGGGTTGTCGCAAGCTATCATCGCATCGTAGGCGTTGGCACGGCCGCAAGGACACACCCCCAGTCGGCTGGACTTGTCCACGACGTTGAAGAAGCAGCCTTGTTCTGCAGCTGTGAGGGGAGACAAGAGAATGGCACATGGTGACAAGGAAGGTAATAAATTGTCTACAGTCCTATATCCTATCGGTTCCGTTTTCCATTGGCCCAATATCCTACCGATCCCGAGTCCTATTGATCCTTACGTCCCATTGCACGTCTGCCCTTGATTTATCTCATATTGATCTTATGCATCATTTGTCTTATGTCCAACTGGTGCTTTGTCCCATTAGCCTTAGTTCTAGTTGGTTTTGTGCCTCATTTTGCTACCATTTAATTTATATACTATTGGCTTTATGTCCCCAATGACGTTATTGTCTATGACCCATTGGTTCTATGTCCATGTCCAATGTTCTACTAGCTTAATGTCTGATTGATATAATGCTCCAATGATCTTATGTTCGACTGATCATATGCCCCTATGCCAAACTGATTGTAAATTCCTTTGGTCCTATTTTCCATCGACCTTATATCCAATCAGTCCAGTCTTAAATCCAATTTGTCTTCAATTGCTACATCCCATTGGTCCTATGCCCTACAAGTCAGCTATATCCTATCATCACCAAAACCTGGAGGCCAGGTTCACTCAGAGCATTTTAAGAGTTAAGCCCTCCTTATAGGAAGAGACCATCAAAGGTGGAGGGGGGGGGGGACCTAAAAGGGTAGGACTACAGGATATACACTATAGAAGTGGTCATGGTGCCCAGCGGAAATACACCGTCTCAAGCTTTGCCTGGTGACATAGCTGATAGAGATGCATATTTTACACTTCCACAAGGATACTTTTTGGTACCTTAACTGTTCTTCTTAATATATACTTTGGCTCCAGTACAAATCAAGGAAAAGTCAATTCCATCTCCCTCCTTGGCCAACCAAAAAAGAAAAACGCATGCCTTAAATTTACAATATTGAAGCCACAAGGCTGATCTAAATATCTGCAAAAGGGGATCCATTAGGATATCGTTATCCTGTGCAAATATACACCACCCTAAATTCATTTTCTATTTTGTAATAACTATTATCAAGTGGTAATTTAGTAAAAGAAATGGTGTGTATCAATACTTGTGTAAAGTGACAAAGTTCACAATATTGGTTAGATGTACACGAATGTGACCATGCATGACTTTGCGAGTCTTGTGCAACAATCAAATATACACTCAAGGCAATACAAAATACTTTGAAGGAGAAAAATAATTTGAATTGTACTTATTTATATATTTAAAGGAAATGAAATTGATGACATCATTAAGCAGAGAAAGAAAGACTATTTCAGAAACCAACTTATAGTCTAGAAATAAGATTCAGATAGTAAGCTAAAAACATAGTGCGATGTGTTAAACAAACATGTAGACATAAACAAACTAATAAAAAGGACACGAAATAATTTTCAACAAGAAAATATTACTCATTTCTATGTAACATTCAAGATACTAAAATGGAAATGGGAAGCTTTGAAGCAAAAAATATGAAAGTCTGAAAAACAAAGCATGAATTATTAAAAAATTAAATTAAAAACATTTTGGCAAATTCTAAGGTGATTATTAAACTAAGGATATATCAAGAAAAATAATGGCTTAATCAATTTTGTTGGTATAGTTCTACAAAATGCATTTCCCTATGATTATTAAACAGGCACAAATAGTGGAAGAAAGGTTACAATGTCTGATACTGACATACAGGTACATTGAAACTGTACATGTATTTAGGAAATGTATGCATTGCTTTTGATACTACATGTATTTAGGAATAAGGTCTATTTTGGGAGACTAAATTTAAAATGATAAATGCTACCACTGTTCAACACAAATCACAGAAGCCATTGATACAAAGTGCTTATTTTTCTTCTTCTTTTTTTTCTTTAAACTGAGAATTCTCAGAGATGTATTTGATTCAAGATTCTGGCCCCTCCAAAAGTCATTGAATGAACTAAGGATAGACGCTTCATCTTCAAGGGATCAACATTAGATCCAGAATCTTTGTTATGCCTCAGTCACACCTTTGCTGCATATTTATGGCAGGCTGTTTCAACATTTATTCCTATTTCCGGATATCAAGAAATTGAATTCTTGATATTAAGAAATCAAATTCTTGATATCAAGAATTACCTTTGCTTTACAACAGAAAATCACTTCTTGATATCATGAATTCATTTCTTGATATCAAGAAGTAGGAATAAATGTTAAAACGGCTTGCCATAAATACGCAGTAATACCCAAGCCAAGTACGCAAAGGTGTGACCAAGGCATTACAGGGATGAAATATGCATACAGGTCTATTGGGAACCCACCTGAGAAAGAATTCCTACGGGCCTGAACAGAACGCTTTTCTTGGCTTCCTTCTGTAAATAACACAATTGAAGGTTTTGCATCATTATTCAAGTCATTTTTTGCTTACTTTTTATCAGCAAATTGCTTTGTGCTTCATCACTAAGTATTGAAATGTAGCCACTTTGGAAGGTAAATGAATGAATGCAAAACAGTTTTACTTTAAATTTTGTTACTGAGTCTGTTTAGTTATTTGAAGCTGCATGGAGGTATTCTAAACTCTATGGGTGGTATTCTTGTAAGCGGACTAACTTTAGTCCATGGTTTAATCCACCGACTAAGTATGGAATGCTAAGTGTCCATATGAATATGTTTATGAATAATTTAATCTGTCACTAAATTAAAATAAAATGTAATAACATAAATAAAAAACAACAATATAACTATGATATCACTATGTTATCATGGGAATTTAGGGACATATCAAATTATTCAAAAAAATATATTCATATGGAGACTTGGCATTCCATACTTAGTCGGTAGATTAAACCACGGACTAAAGTTAGTCCGCTTTCGAGAATACCACCCAATGACTTCTGCCATCTAGATCTAAATTCGTCTAAACATGCAATATATGGACAGAGGTCAGGGAAGGGGGAGGGAGAGTCGAAGAGAGGGAAATAAAGGATGCTGGGACTGAAGGGAGGGGGGGGGGGGAGGCATGAAAGCAAAAAAGTGAAGGATATACAATAATATGGGGTACACAGAAAGAGGGGAGAGGGGAGAGGGGAGAGAGGGGAGAGGAGAGAGAGAGGGGAGAGATGACAGAAGAGACGGGGATGAAAATAAGAGTGAGAGATGAAATAAGAAAGATATTGGAAAATGAGAGAAAGCAAAGAGAGAGGAAAAAGAAAAAGAGGTAAGGATACAGACAAAAAAGGGAGAGGGAGAGTTTCAATATTGCTGAGTGACTACAATAAATAGAGCACATTTATATTTATGTCTCTGTTTGTATCTCTAGACGTTGACTTATTGACCTCTACTCATTATACAAATGTAATTATACTGCCCAATATTTTAGTCTTCAATGTACATATAAGTACTACATAGAAAGCCTCTAGTACCATCATTGAAAAAAATGTGCTTCTAAATAGTTGAAAACTATTCCACTTCGGTGGTAAGCGCTTTATAAGCACCGTTTTTATTACTACTATTTTTTAAATGGGCTAACATATTACAAGATCTTAACCAAAAAGAAACGTCAAAGACTCTATAGTTTGTTCTAATTTTAATTTCCCCCAATGACCTTTGACCCGAACTAAGACCTGAACCTGACACTCAGAAAACAAATTATCCCCCCAAAAAAAATGTTTTCACTACACCCCACAACATACAGATGAAGACACACACACTCACACACACACACACACACACGGACAAATTGTACAGGGAGAGAGAAAAACATCTTGTTATAACCAAGTGAAGGAGACATAAACCGTACATGTGTAGTCATAACAGCTCTGTAAACTGAGATAAGAAGCTAGAATAGAAGTGAAACCATTATGAAGAGAGATCCTTAGATTCAAATTACTACATTCACTCTCAAAATACAAGAACTTATCACCATGTCTGAATCTAAAATACTTATCTGTTTCTTTCACACAGAGAGTGAGAACGCATAGGGTATTTATGGTGTGCAGCTACATTTTGATAACCTTAACATTTCTTGAACTAACACAGAGATAGTGAATACATTTGTATGGTATTTTTGCGCACAGCTGACTTGTCATCTCCACTTGCATGCGACATATGTGAACGACCCATCGGGTGGTATTCTCGAAAACTTTAGTCCATGGTTTAATCCACCGACTAAGTATGGAATGCCAAGTGTCCATATGAATATATTTTAGAATAACTTGATATGTCCCTAAATTACCTTGATAACATAATTATATCATAGTCATATTGTTGTTTATTTATTATGTTATTACATTTTATTTTAATTTAGTGACAGATTAAATTATTCAAAAACATATTCATATGGACAGTTGGCATTCCATACTTAGTTGGTGGATTAAACCATGGACTACAGTTAGTCCGCTTTCGAGAATACCACCCATTATGACTGCAGTATATAAATGCTTGAAGTATCAAAACAGCTCATTTCATGAATTAAAGGGGGAAATCAATGTAAAAGAATTGAACTAAACTGCACTAATTACCGGCACGATAGAGGTCTTCATTAGTTTTGTTGATTCGCACAACGGCATCAATCTTCTCACATTTGATCTTGAGAAGTGTTGAACATGGGCTAGAGGGTGCTTTCCTCTTCAAGGAAGACAAAACTAAAAAAAAAGATTCAATCAGAAAAAGTATAGGTTTATTAATCTGGAAACAATGCACAGAAATATCTGTAGATAAATCTGGAATGTGTATCGAGCAGCCCAAAAGTTGATATACAGTCAAATCTGTCTACAGCGACTGCCCAAGGGAAACAAAAATGTGCTTGTTGTAGACAGGTGGTCTTTGTAGACATCTTCCTCTAGTACATGTTTCAATGAGAAACCATTTTCAAGGGAAACAAAAATTGTGCGTGCTGTAGACAGGTGGTCACTAAAGCAGGTTTGACTGGGTACTACTAACTCAGTTAAACCCAACCATGGGTCTTGGATCACTTTAACAAAGGGAAATTAAACCTCATATCAACTTTCGTTGTAAAACCTTTTTTGAGCGAAAGCCTGAATCTAGCGTCGGATTCAAGTTTGAGGGGAATACGGGCCATAGGATCTATCAAATATACCATTCTGTGCAACAGGTAAAAAATAATTCTACATCAAACTAGATGAGAACGGAAGTAATTGTACTTTGGTAGTTAATCACTTATGAAAATACCATTAAAAACAAAATACCTTTTAATGATGTAACACAGTACACAAACCATCAACATTAATGATATTTGTCCCTTAAATTCTCCTGACTTAAGCTCTCACCTTCTTTCGTATCTTCTTTTATTTCCACTTCCGATTCGACGACTTCAACTTGCGAGTCTGTCTCATCTTGGGAGGTGGTAATCAGAGTCTCACCAACATCTATCTCCTCTTCATCCCCTCCCGCTTTGGCTTCATCATCCGTAGCAACGGCAAGTGAGGGTTTCGTGGTTGCTTCTGAGGAGTCCTCTAGGGAGGTTAATGTACTGCTGAGGTCTTTCGTAACTGGTGTCTCTGAGGATATCTCTGAAGGTCTGCATCCATGAGGTTCTTCTGGTTTCTGGAGAGGTTCTCCCGATTTTTGAGAGGGGTGTTCCAGTTTCTCGGGGGGCTGATCTGCTTTCTGAAGCGGCTGCTCTGTTTTTCCACATGGCTGTTCTGGCTGCTTCGCAGGAGACGAGACAGGGGCAACACGCTTGTCGATCGGCGGGGTGAGAATCTGGGACGTCTTCATGATCCGAAAGGTCGGCGATGAGAACGGACTTACACCTAGCGGTTTCGATGGTTGGGCAGCCACTTGCTTCACAAACACCTGCACACGTTGCATTGGAAGCTGTCCGGGTAGCCCCTTAGGCACAACTCTGGACACAGTTTGGGACACGGGTTGGACCACCACTGGCTCGTTTGGCGGGGTAGGGGGCAACATTGTGACAAGGCTTGAATGAGTTGGCGTACGCCGCCCATCCTGCGGGGTGTTAAGAATCTGTAAGACATTTGATGCGCCAGAGCTCTGTTGAGGGTGGACACCCTTGTTCGCAGAAGTTTGCACTCCCGGCTGTAGGGTAGCTACTTGTGCATGTAGGGTTGTACCTTGGGAACCTGCAGTGGTTCCTCCACTAGTCACAACACTGGGTAAAAGTCTCCTTTCCTTGGTCACCCCTGGCTTCTTCAAAGACACAGCTAATGCGATAAGCGGAGAGCTCCGCCCCTCCTTGAGTTTGTCCTTCTTGTCCTCACAGTGACCTTGTTGAGCGACGGGTGTGTTCTTGCCCCTCTGCTCTGTGAGCACAGATGCTTTCTTATCAGCCTTTCTGCTATGTAACACCTTGTGTCTCTTGTGAGATGACTTCTCCTTTTTGGGTGGCAAGGTCGGCTCTGGAGATGGAACGAAGCTGATTTCTGAACAAAGAGAGAACAAAGTTTAATCAGAAAACCTGGGGCCGTATTCAATTCACTAATAGGTACATGAAACTACCTTGGTTAAATAGAATGAAACAACCAAATAAGCATATGAATAAATGAATAAACAAACAAATAGATTATTAATAAGGAAATACACACTTAACTAAATAAAATAACTACATGTCGAGGGTTCAGTTACACAAAGACGTATAACTCCATATTTCGCCAAAATGAGTATTTGATATCAAAATGTTCAGAACAATGTGGGCTTTCCAGGAAACACAAAGACTTAAATCCATCCAATTGCAGTCAATGGCTAGTGAAACATAGACTTAACTCCTTAAGGCCCAAGCGGACCTCTATCTTTAAACCACTTTTTCTCAAAATAGTCCAAATGGAGTTACGTCTTTGTGTCACTGACCCCCGGATGTAATACTATCATACTACTCTCAGACGGCCGTGCAATTGTATCATTACTTTAGCTTGGCTACCCTGACAAGACACTCATTCCTACCAGATGCTCAATTTTTTTTCACCTGGAAGCAAAGTGGCAATAGTAGATAAGATTAATGTCCTAAACTGAAATGATTATGAGCAGGGAATAATTTTCCTCAAATTTTTTGATTAGCAATTTCAGCTGATGGATAAATATTTCAAATGAAATTCTGTACATTTCTATGGAAGAAAACTGCTACACAAAAGATATTTTGTATAGCAGTCCAGGGGCGGATCTAGCTTTTTGCTAAGGGGGGGGTTGACCAAAATAATGACGATGCGGAGCATCGTCCACGAGCCGCGAAGCGGCGAGCCGATTTTTTTTGGGGGGTGTTTATTTGAACCCCGTAAGTGATGTTTTCCTGGCATCTATTAACACAATGGAGACCATAAAAAGCTGTAAAAAAAGATGCGAGACTGGATTGCCGCAACTTCTTTGCCCTGTTTGCTTCCATATTGCTTGTCACTACACTCAGACCAGACTGATAAAAAAGTGAGCAACTTGAACAAGTAATCCAGGAAATGAGCAGCCCAGCTCAGCGTGCGTTGCCAGGTTAAATCTTCACAAAATCCCCACCCAAACGACACTTAAAATATCCCCAAAGTTGCCAAATTTTGACAGAAAATCCCCAAATTCGTTTTTCATAAAACTCAATATTATTTTCATTCCCAAATATTTATTTTTCATCCCCAAAGACTTCAACAATCCCCCAATTTTTTTTTTTTTTTAATGTGGGGATTTTGGGGATGAGAATCGGCAACGCTGGCCTAGCTTGTCACTTCGGCGGTGGCCCATGTCCTCAAAAAAGCTGATGGGGGGGGGGGGGAAAGGGACTCTGTGACATTTGTTCGCCCAACCCCCCCTCCCCCCAAAAAGAAATAATAATAATAATAATAATAATAATAATAATAATAATAATAATAATAAATGAAATAAATACATAGAAATAGAATAAAATAAAATTACAAGTTTAAAAAAAAAGATAAGATTTAAAAAAATGGTCCCCGGATTTTTTTTTTTTGGGGGGGGGGGTTGCAACCCCCCCAACCCCCCCTCTAGATCCGCTTCTGCAGTCATGCAAAAATGCATAGCAAATTGCAAGGCGATACCAGGAAAATTATTCCCTGATGAGATCGAGATTTATTACATTGTACATGTGACTGGGGGAAAAAATGACATACTATCGTTAATGGCTGTATATCATTGTTGCCTGTGCTACATACATGTACCAACAACAAAATCAGTGAAGAAAGAAAGTTACCTGGAAATGAAACTAAATACAGCAAAACAAAAAGAAAGAAGGACGCTTGATTACCTGGCAGTTCATCTTCATCATCTTCTTCTTGTATTTTCTCTTCTCTAAATATAACCTCCTTGAAGGCAAAGCTGAAATGTTCATCTGGGGAAAATAAACAAAAAACTTGTCAAGTACCATACACTGTACCCTAGCTGCTAATTTTGCATTTTATTGGCTCCCATGAGAAACATACAATATTTTGTGAGGCAAACTATTAGATTTGTCCATAATTGAGCAGGGCTTGCCTTTTCTCGAGGTTTTAGTTAAAAATCAAAATAGTTAAAAAACGAAATTGCGAAAAAATATATTGAAGAAACTGGACTTCAATTGAAAAGAAAAAGTTACAGATGGGCACAAAATTACTACTAAAGAATAAATAAATCAATAAAAATGGAGTGAGAGACAAACAACAGTGCAGGTATCAAATCAAAGAATCACATCGGCTGGAAATTCATGAAGAAGATTTATCGTAAAACATGATTGAAACTTACTCCTTTTGCGTATGTACATCACTTTAAAGCTTGGTATTTTGTCCAACGAATAAGCGATATACATACGATTATTAGAGTCAAGAATTCAAAGTTTGAACCTAGTTGAATGTGATTCAATTCCAAATTCTCCTTCGCGCTTTTGGGCCACTAAGGCTAACATCGAAATAAATTGAACAAAGAAGAAATTAGACACGTTCACACATAGCAGTACAGAGTCTCCTTTTACTCATTTATAGAGACATCTATGGATGATCTTTTCATCCACACTTCTACGAAAGAATTGTATATAATCTTGAAAGTTTCTAAATTGGCATTGCCTGTGAAATTTATGAACACTACCCTTTTTTTTAAGGGGGGGGGGGAGGGAGGGGATAAATTTTGACATTTTCTTTAACATTGGTTCATTTAATACATATTTCTATTTTCTCAACTATGGAGAAGTGATAATAAAAATAGCTGATGCCAATTTGAGGTGGTAAGACCGATTTATTTAGATGTTAAAAAAACAACTCTGAACTACTATGGGTTACAGAAATAAAATGTGAAGGATTAAAGATCACATACGTGGAAAACAATTATATGTCACGTCTTGGCCCAACTTCACGGAAACATCAGGCCAGGAATGGCGTATTCTTTTCCGCGTTCTCACTGCAGTCCCATCTATGCATAAATGTGTAAGTGAAAGAGATGAACATAGAAGAAAAAAATCACACAGATGATTTAAGGAGATGAGTTAGCGACCACGAGTGTTAAGAACGTAAACTGTACATAAGAATAAGAGTGGTGTAGCATGTCACACACAAAAACAAAGACAAACCTCCATCAATGAATTAATTAATAGCTCAAATCAAATAGTTTCCTTTCATCACTTGATTAAATTCTTTACATGAATACATCTACCAAGTTGGATGTTCCTCTACCATTAAATCTTTGACAGTAGTTGGATAAAATGCACTTCCATTTCAGTTAGGAGCATTTTTAAAAGAACCATATCAAGTCTTAAAGTGCTTTTTTTTTGGGTAGAAATTTGTGTTTGGTCTTACCTTACAAGCAATGGCCACGATGTCCCCTTACACAGACAGACGTCATTGATTGTAAGTTATGACCAATCAAATTGTACCAATCACCCAAAAGTCTCTTACTGTGTATGTTTAGCAGTTCCATGTCAGCGTAATACATTCAAAATATGAGCTTGAATATTGCGTCTCTAATGAGATTTTGCAAGTTTAAAGCCCCACTGCACTACTTACAGCTACTTGCGCTCTCTATATAACAAACAGTGCCTAATCGGTGACCATCGGTCCTCCGTGATCCTCTTTTTCTTATGTTAAGTGATAGCTGATTTGATGAGAAAACCACCTGTCCAGTGACATTGCAAGGTGGTCTAATCCCTCCCGTAAACTAGTACAGATGGCCTTTAAGTCAAATAACACTGCACTTTCCAAACGATTTTCTTCTTGAATCATAAAATTCTTTTCCCCCCTCAAAATTGTCATTTGGCGAGTTAACCAAGTATCAAATTCTCCCATCATGTTTAGTTTAGGATGTGTCGTTCATGTCCCATTCACTGTCTCCTTCCCCACCAATTACTCATGTGGACGGGCTGAAAGAGCCAATTCTTTATTCTCCCAAACTCCCTACCTTATTAAAAAGATAGGTATATCTAGGAAATGTAGAATATTTACCCCCCAAAATCACGAAATTAAAAACAGCACTTATTGCTACCACTGCTGTAATGTATATTCAACTGCACCATCTTTCCGGTTCCTGTACCCAAGCATCATCAGTTGGTGATGCACTGTGGGTCATGACTGTTGAAATATCAAGATATTGTGAGCAGCAGATGGCAGTATATATAGATGTGAAGTACTGTCACTAGAATAACCTGCCTTTAAGAATTACAATGTTAAACTTCAGCAGCTGGATAAAATAATTTCCTTACTTGTGTGGACCACACTAGGAATGACACTGGAGTCCGACTGTGGAGTTTTGTGTGGAAGATTTGAAGCGCCGTTTCCTGGAATGTCTCCTGTAAAGTATTAACAAATTAAAAATCAATTATTTGTGAAAAATAATTTCTCTCTCTCTTTCTTTTAACAGTAGGGAAGCAAGGGTAGGAGTGCCATGATAAATTTAAGTGGACTCCTATGGTAGCTAGCATATGACAAACTATTTCTTGTATGGTAGTTGAGACAAGACAAGGTGAGATACACAAAAAAGGGGGGAAAAGAGAGAAAAAGAGCAAGGAATATCTTGAAACCATGTATACAGAACAAAGCCATAACAATGCAGCCACGGAGTTAGAAAATATTCGGCCTCCTGACAAGGCATGAACTAGCCAACTGCACAGGAGAACACCCCACCCAGCTCAAGTGTCCATTGAGAGGGAACAACAAACCAACATGTATGGTAGCTGAGAAAAGACAAACAACCTTGTATGGTAGCTGAGACAAGACAAACCAACCTGTTGGACTTGATCTTGCACGTGAATGGTCCTCTGTACTGCTTTCTTGGCTGGACTGGTCAACTAATACAAAAAATAAACAAAACAAAAAATATGAATGAGAAATACCATCAACAACAGTCTCAATATAATTACAATGTCCAGAATTGGAGATACAAATAATATACTGGCACACACTACATGACTCTCCTGTGATCCTATTTTTGTAGAAAGGGTAGTTACATGTACCTGTAGTCCTGTACAGGTCTGTATATTAGATATGGAAATCTAAACAAGCATTATCCTCCTGATTTAGGTTCTAAATAATAAGAAAATTACCGCTACAATTCAATGCATTTAACTCTTCTAGTCAGAGTAAAAGATGGAACAGGGGCCTGTTTCATCTATAACAAATGCTAAATTTCGATGACAAGTTTGCTCTCAGCCAATCACATGCCATGATTTCAGTAGCTTATAACAGTAGCTTGTAACTTGTCATTGATATCAAGTTTTATGAAACAGGGCCCAGTTTCAAATCGTAGACAATCACCCTGCTTACCGGTATCTGATTAACTTTATATTATTTTTCTGCTTTTATACAAATAAACTTATTACAAAGGTTAGATTGCCAGCATTCTTTATATTTCATAATAATATATTGCATTGTTGCAAAATACTTTAAAAAAAGTTAACATATCTGCACAAAAACAGAGAAAAAAAAGAAAGGGTATCTGGGTAAATATTGCAAGAAAATTGGGAAATGCTTTAAACAAGCACTATGAACATGACAGACAATGAAAGCCGACAAAATATACAGTTCCTCAGGTAGACAAAGGGACATCCCTTCACTGCTATTATGTAAAAATGTGTAGAACAGGTGTCACATGCATATTCACCTGGTCTACACATCTATATTATTAATACGCAAAATCGCCGCGGGGGGTCTAAAACGGGGCAAAACGGTTCCTCAAAAACGTCTTTCCCCGACCCCGCTCGCCTCCACCGTGGCGCGGGAACGGTGGCACAATTCCACGAGGCCTGTCTCCCGTAACCCGCGTGCCACCTCGACCCCGCGATCGACGTCAATGCAGTTAAACGCGGTTTCGGGGTTTCGGGGAGGACGGGCGGACGAAAGCACGGCGGGCGTCGTGGATTGCAAGGAGGCGACGAACCCGCGAGAGCGAGTTGACAAGGCGTGCTCCCGCCCTTTGTCTAATTATCAAAGAGAGACGAAGAGACACATAATAGACGAGAATCCACTCGCATCAACGGGTGTAGCAAATCTCATCGTAAAACGGTGGGGCGTACCCCGAGTTAGACCTCATACTATAGGATATGCTTTGTAGCGTGTCAGAGAAATACACATTAACCGATGACTCACCCGGTTGATGAGATGTAGTAAATCTACGCTCTGACGGGCTGGGCTTACCCGTGTTATGGATCTTGCTATAGGGTATGCTTTGTACGCCAGACGGCCTATGCCTGTACGTGTATGCGATGATTTTACGCTCATGTCACACGCACAGTCGGTTTGCGACTTTCATTCTATGATTGCCGTGATTTGTGATTTGTATATAGTTAACGTGAATTAGAGGTATATAGCAGGGCTAACTTTGTGATTATCCCGTCCATGTTTACTGAATTGTGATAATCATTCTTCAAAGTAAAGTTTTCACAAGGAATCCATCGTAACTTACAGTTCAGTTGCAAGCTGGCTGTCTTGAGGCTCGAGTCCACACATGCACGGACAGCGCATTGCGCCACATGCACTGCTGCCGTGCACTGTCGGAACTGTGACTGTGTGTGAGCTGAGCTGGGCTACATAGAGTAGACTCGACATTCGATAACACTTTGAAATTGCTCTTATTGCCCTGATTTCAATATAGTTTCGTGATTATAGAGGTATGAAACCTGAGCTTAGATTGTGATTATTCTGGCCATGTATAGTTGTATGCTGAATGTCGATAATCAATTGTCAAAGTAAAGTTTTCACAAGAAAATCAGACGGTCCCGGGTCGTTTAAAAACATAACCTAGCTCATTAGCTGAATACTAGAATACTAGAATACTATAGAATACTTTACTCAGTGATACACAGTTCTTGCATCAAATCAATGCTTTCAAACGGGTATGACGGTCGCCATTCATGGTCAAACAGGGGATATTATAAAAATCGTCTATACCCTATATAAAAATAATCACATATTATTTTTGATTGCACATAACCTCATAGGCCTCTTTCTATTTACCCCCCCCCCTCCCCCCTCCCCTCCTAGAATCCCGTGGATTTTCCACGGGTCCTGCTAGTTTTTACATAATAGCAGTGAAGGGATGTTCCTTTGTCTACCTGAGGAACTGTATATTTAGTCCGCTTTCATTGTCTGTCATGTTCATAGTGAAGATCGGGAGCCACATACAGTATCTGGAAAAGGTCCATAAATTTTTTAGGGAACTGGGAGCCGTTTTTTCCAGGACCCATTTCCAAAACTATTGAAAAAATGTATTCTTTTATTATTTGTTAACCATTACCTTTTATTTATTCATTAGTCTAACAGTACCCTACACTCAGTACTAGTTTGTGTTACAATTCAATAAGGATGTATTTATTCAACGTAGATCAACAACAGTCTCAATACAATTGCAATGTCCAGAATTTGAAATACAAATAACATCTCTACCGGTATATCAGTCGATGGTTTAGTCTCTGTAGTCTATTAATCTTATCCCCTTCTCTAGTTGAGAAACTGCACTTACATGTACATCATGAAGTTCTAGGGGCGTTACCACTTGGGAATGAGTAATCTTAACATGCTTTGATTGGTCAATAGTTTAAAGGTAATACAAAGTTTTGGGAAATTTTGAAAATTGGGTAGATAGTGAATCTTTACAATTTTGATATATTTGGATGCCCCTGTGGATGTTTTATAAGCACTAAAAAAATTAACCCCTAAAATACTTCTGTTTTCGAGAAAAATTGAATATAAAAATTTACCAGTGCTCCCGGTAAATTTTGATAAATTTCAAATAGCGCACATGGCCGTGCAATGGTAGCTGCGACCATGAAAATCTCAGAATATGTAGTTGGGATATATAATTTCCAAACGGGAATAGCTAATCGGTCAATTTCAGTCAAGAAACATTGTTTCATAGCAATTAATATCTTGACCTTGAGATGGAGCTATACAACATAAAGAGTTTATTATTTATAATTTCATAACTTCAGACTCGATTTCAACCGCGACAACGATCAATGTATATTATAGGAACGCATATGCTTCCAATATGTTAATTTGAACCAAATTCATGACCCCATACCAAAACTTTGTAATACCTTTAACTGTTTACCAGGATTGGTATGGTATAGGGGGTGTGGTGATGCTCAGTGCAAGCGACTGGGGTTTGGGCCTATGAGTCATAGTTCTTGGAATGTGATTCCTTGAAGTTAGCTCTCTGGGGTGGTCATTAATGGTCAATATTTAGAATCAAAGACAGTAGGGTCAGTGTCTAGGAATATTGGTTTAAAAATCTCTGGAGCCTGGTTACGGAAAAGCTCGGTTCTAAACATTCCCCCTTTTTTTATTGCCAAGATTCATTATGAATAATAAGTAAAAATGGGCAAAAAACATCGAGGCAAATATTAATGCAAAATTTAGCATCGATACAAAAATACACAACTTTCAAATACATACCCAGCTGCTTTTAAGCATAAGCCAAGACTTGAATATGTTACTTTACAACAATAACATCACAATTTCTTCCATTTTTGAAACAAGCATGGAAAATGCCATCCCATACTCCATGCAAGTATACACATTACACATACTGTACTCTATCTAATGAACTTGGATCACAGCTAAAATAAAAAATGCAATTTCGTAATGGTCACGCATGACAAATCATGTTAAATGTAAATAATGTACTGGTATACACTTTTAAACTACACATGCAGCATTATCTCCTCTCTACATATCTTTTCATGTGCAGGCAAATATATGTACTGAATGACTCCGTATACGGTAAACACAATCTCAACTATTTTCAAAAAATCAACTCAAGGGCATTTTCAATACAAAAAATGTATGTCCAGTAAGCCAGTTCACGTTGCAGTCTGAGCATGGGCAGATAAAGGTCATTGAAGAACAAGGTTTAAAATACATGGAGACGAAATACTCATGAAAGTTATGTAACATTATTCATTCATGCACATTCAGTGCGCTCCATGGTACACAGGTGGAAGTATTCTTTAAAAAGGGGGAACAAAGGCTATAGCCCCTCTTCATGTTTTGAAGATCTGTGGATATTCTGGGTCACACTATGAATATGACTGACAAAGAAAGCGGACAAAATATACAGTTCCTCAGGTAGACAAAGGAACACCTCTTCACTGCTATTATGTAAAAATGTGTAGAACAGGTGTCACATGCATATTCACCTTTTTAAATAATAGCAGTGAAGGGATGTTCCTTCGTCTACCTGGGGAACTGTATATTTTGTCCGCTTTCATTGTCCGTCATGTTCATAGTGTCATTGCAGTATTAGGTGTCACTCGTGAACTGGTCTATTGAAATCATGTTTGATTTACGTAAGACATCCTTATCATGTTCACATATAATTCAGTATGTGATGCTTGAGGCTACTGATAGTACCTCAGGATGATTTTTTGAAAGCAGATGCTATCATGTTCTGTGTACATACATGTACTTGGTAGTAACAACACTGACATTATAAGCCACTTGAGGGAACAATTCAAAGGAAATTTTTTAGTATGATGGGGAGAATAATATGGGGGAGAGGAGAATAATATGGGGAAGAGGAGATGGCTGTAATGAAATGAAAGCAGGATAACGAGTGAGATTAGGCTAATTAGCACATCATGTACATGTACATGTACATTCTTCTCTATCTTGTAACGGTACATGTACAGTGAATACCGGACTACCGGTAACTTCATTATTTAATATTCATACCCTTGCAGACTTGATAGTTTTGTGTTTTACTTAACTCAAGAATGAAAGGTGGACTGATGGAATTAGGGAATTTGTTGAATACTTCAGGGAGGCCTTTCACAAAACTTGACATCAGTGACAAATGACAGTCAATATGTAGTTGATAATAATGATTCCTACACACGGTGTACCACAATGTGCTATCCTAGGTCCTCTACTGTTTTTTAATTTACATTAATGATCTTACACATTCAGCTGCACCTCGCAGTTAAATTAAAGGCCTTGCCGCGTGTTTTTTTTTAACACAGACCTGGCTTGCTGTTTTTTTATTTATTTTTTAAAAGGGCGAAAAAGAGGGGTGCAGTTAATACACGAGGGCGGTTTAAACAACATTAATTACGGTACTTGTACCTGCACTATACAATGAATCTTCATATGACGTTTCTTTGTACAATTTTCATACAAATTTTCTTCATTTTGAACAGACCATATATGTTAGCCCCATGTCAATTACACCAGCTTTATTTCTCTTTCTAATGAACATACATGTACATGTAAATTATCTAAATGTGAACCATGTTTCTTGCAAAATTTAATGACCCTCCTAACATGTGGTTAGGACCATGATCTAAACCAAGCATGTAAAAAAAAATATCTGTACAGACATGCATGGCAGAACTTTGCAACCAGCTCCCCTTTTCAAGGATTCTGGTTTAACCTTTCCCCATACCAGGGGTCACATTATTGCTTTGAGCTACCTAGAATGACCCAAACTTACTAGCTACACCATAAAAACTGAAATGTTACATCACCATTTTAAAGGGCCGAGGAGTGATCACTTTTTAAAAATTATGGTAGAGTAACACTTAGAACATGCTGGATCCAACATTATTAAGGTTAAATCCTGGGCTGCGTCTCACGAAACCGTCATAAGTATAAGTTGAGCGACATCCCATTGAAATGTGTATATTAAGTTTAACACGCATTTCAATGGGATGTCGCTCAACTTGTACTTATGACGGTTTCATGAGACGCAGCCAAGCATGTTAAAAGTATCAATCAGATGTTTTTTTTAAAGAGTGGTTACTCCTCAGCCCTTTTAAATGGTGATTTAACATTTCAGTTTTTAGAGTGTATGTTGTTCGCAAAGTCCTGTAGTTTCAAACTACTAAATGACAATCCAACCTTTGTAATATTCTCATTTGCATGAAAGCAGCAAAATAAGAGATAAAGAATGGCACAAAGTTTGAAATAAACCAGACCAAAAATAAGAGACATTTTTTATATATGAGATAATGTTTGCAATATACTCATTTGCTTGAAAGCAGCATATTAAGAGGTGCAGAATGGAGAAAGTTTGAAATTAACCGGACCAATATATATTGAATAAGAGAGTTACAAATATTTGAAATATGAGATCCCATACATGTACTCATTGCGAATCTCAAATTGGCAATTTGGTTAGTGGTTAATGGACAACTCTTCCGTTTGTCATGTACAAAAATATTATTCATTTTTGTAGTCCTTTGTTGAATACTTTGAGATGTAAGCTTTAATATGTCACTTTCTCAACACTCATAAATCGGGGAAAATAAAAATAATTTACATACTTGTAAAATTCACAAAACTTAGTATTAGGGTATGAATGATTTAGTTGTTATGTGTGTGCCTACATGTAATTATACCTTGACAAGGGATTGTTGAACTCCCTGGCAGTTCAGAATTTTCTCAAGATCTAAATAAATTAGCTTTTCCTCCTTACAGTATTTTCCGCTCCTAATAACAATGTTTACATCTAAAAATTATAAATGTTTATTGTTAAATTACCAATTTGACAAAAAATGCCAATTTGTACACAAACATAGCAATAACATGTTTAACACTCGATTGTCAATTGAGAGACTGGGGGTGTGAGGGAAGGGATCGCTTTAACAAGTACGCCAGAATGCATACAGTGTGTTTACTATAAAGCATCTTTTCCGTTCACATAAATACATTCCCCTTTTGCAGCACAAACCAATGCAAGTCGCGTGCGTAACAGAGTGTCTGGAGTCAGTGAGACTATGCCGGGCAGCCCAGTGCACTTTGATCAAACAAACGAGGTACCAATATCTGAGTGTTGGAACATTCACGGAGAAAGCTACATGTAGTATCTTTATTCAAAATATGGATGTCTGCCGGGGCATCTCTGCTGCATGTGGCCCCTGGGGCAGGTTTAAAAGGAGTCCAAAAATGTGTTTGATCAAACGAACAGGGTACCGTGCATTTTGGGGCCCCCATATGCAGCAGAGGGGCTCCGGCAGCAACTATATAAATTAAGATACACTATGTTCTAATACTCAGATATATACGTACCTCATTTGTTTGATCATAAATCCATTGTTCCCTTGCCCCTTTGCTATCCAAATGACACTTTTTGAACAATGCACTTGAGCAAAGTCTACAGGACGCAGTAACCCACCTCAAAATGCAGCTGCACAACTTTGCCAATAAATAGAGAGCCAGAGGAAGGGGCAGGGGGAAGTAAGGGAAAAACCACGAAAAAGCCCCTATGTGTAACCTACTCGTACTGTTTGTCTCTGCTTTATATGATAAAGAAGCATGCTCCGCTTTAAAAAACTTCATCAATTATGCCCAGGGTAAAAAATATTTAAAGAATTTTTGGGGCTACTTTTCAAGCTTGATTGCATGAAAATAACACTATTTAATTTGTTTGCGTTGAACTCTATGCACATTTTGGGGGGCACTTTTCTGTCTTTCGGGGGCTATTTTGGGCATTTCGGGTGCAAATTCGCCCTGAGCCCCCGCATATTTTGTCTATGCCACAGTGATTGTTTTTATGCAGATTACTGTCTTGAGTCTGAATGAGGTTTACTGTAATTATGCACATGCTAATGATGGGTACATACAATCTAAATATCATCATCTATTAAGGCCAGCACTCAATACACGATATGACTGCAATCCAATTCTCAACAAAAATGGCAATTATATTAGTTATAGAAAATCTAAACAATGGACGTTTTGCCGATTTAGGTTGTAAATTATGATTAAGAATACAACCAAAATGTTGGTGCCTTTTAAGCCTTCTAGTCAGTATAGGTATTAGAAAGTAGACAATCGTACTACTGATCTGACGTCATTACGATTCTGAGCCGATTTAGCTTTTCCTCTTTGAAGGAAGCTTGAAATCCCCTAAAATTTAAATTTGATTAATCCCAAGACTATTCAGATCCTCGATCAGGAAGATTTTACAAGTTTGAATGTCCATGTCAAATGCTACTGCTTTTTTCCATAACAGGATTGCAGTTGGATCGTGTAGTGTATGCTGGGCCTTTGGCAGGATTACATCACAGGCAAGCTGACATCGGGGTTAGCATCAGGATGGCAATTTAATAGCCAAACTTACCATCATTTCTCTCAGGTACAACCTGCTCGGCATGTTTCTCACAAATGCCTAATTTCAAGAAAAAGTGTTGTCATAAAGGGTGCATTCACACTACCAAGCCTCTTGTCAGAATTGATAGGTGCATCATAGAACACGACAATTCTTCATTTGAAAGGGAAAACTTGTTCAACACGATTCCAATTCTCATCTGTAAAATACATATGTCTACGACTGCAATTAATGATTTAGGCTGTGGTAACGTTGTTAACAAATTATTTTCTGTTCGATTGAACTCTTTGTAAATTTTTATCATATAAAAGTGCAATTTTCTTAGAGAATTAAAATTTTTTTTTTTTTTTACTAAAGCCTTTTTTTTTTACAGTTTACCAAAAAATAAATGATAATTAACAAAAAATGACAAAAATATGAGCTTGATTTTGAGTCTTACCTAGTAGGTCCCCCCAATCAGTCAGGTCTTGTAAACTTTCACAGATAACAGGACGGACATCAGGGCTAGCTCCTTCCGATGCTGATGAAGATTCCATCCCAATCCAACTCAATCATGCCCTTTGGCTTTGGCTAGAAAACAGTACAGTGTTATAAAAAATATAAAAAAACTAGATTAAAAAAAGATTAATGTGATATAATATCAATATGACTAGCTGACAAATCTGAACTATGACAATGAAAAATAGGGGTGAGAAGGAGAAGAACAACAACAACAAGAAAAAGAAGAAACAGAAAAGGAACAAGAACAAGAAGAAGAAAAAACAAGAACAAGAAGAGGAACAAAACAAAAAAAACTTGGCGTCAGTTCAGAACTGTGACCATACTTTGAACTTGCGACTCTGGCGTCGGTATGTACATGTACTTGTATTGTGCAGCCGTTTGCGTAACTCCAGGGAGCTCCGACGCTGACGCCAAAGTTGCTTACTGAAGACACGCGCGCGCCCACACCTCACCATCGTCAGTACGGTACACAATTGTATTGTGCTGCAGTTTCCTGTGAAACCAGTGAATAGGAAGTCTTCGATTTTAGGAATAATACCCCGAAAAAGATAAGAAAATTGACACGAAACAGGTAACAAACATATCGACTTATAAATCATGACCTTTATTTTGACATTTGATGAATATTTACTTCATTTAGGGTATTTTTTAGTAGGGTATCTCCAAGCGGGAGTTACTGGGTTAAAGTTTGGCTAGACTTCTGAACTAACACCGCTAGGTTTACCAGTAAGGGGCGCTGGTCCGAGAATGAGGATCGTCCTCATAAACGTGGACAAAATGCGTCCTCATAAACAAGGATCGTCTGCATTTTCGCGGACATTTTTTTTTTATTGGCGCTCTGCAGGTTTTGGGTTACCGAACCGCTCGCTGGCAATGCTAAAAATGGATTCCCCAGGGGAAAATAACCCTAGGGCCTAGTTGTTGACCGTCTACTTTTGTGGGTTGTCTGTCTTCCCAAGGATTTATTGCTCATAATGTGAAGGTCTCTGTACAAAGTCTACGTAAAATGCATCAAGAAAATCATCCCGGAATCCTTTTTTTGCATCGCCACTGTGCCGATCAAAAATATGAAACGTCTGCCTTGTTTTTGAAGACGATCCTTATAATTCTCGGACCAGCGCCCCTACTGTTTACTAGGTAATATTAATATCACATTTTGTGTTACATGTATCACCTAGCTCTTAGGCCAGGACAGGAACCAAGCCTAGGCCGATTCAATATCAAGTAGCAGTCTTCCGACCTAACCCTAGCGTATCTGTTGCTTTACCACGAGCCCGAGCCTGGCCTGCTGAGCCGAGCTGTGACTCTGCCTCTGGGGCGCGGGCCACATGCATGGGCCATGGCCATGTATTGGAAGCTTCATTTCCTCGCGTTTGGTTCACTCGCTTCACCTTTATTAAACCGTAATTTCCGAAGCCACACAAACAAAATCGAAGACACAAAGTACTCATAAAACTTGAGATTTATTTGAATGTTAATAATAATCTTACCATTTATCAATACTAGTCTGGAATCTGGATGAGATACGAGGATCTCCGATCTCTGATCTTCTGTTCACCATGGTTGGTACTTGCGCTATACGTACATGCACGCTATGCGCAATTTTTATGCTGCACCTGCGATGTGTGTTCAGTTGGATCGTTACAGTACCGTACGTCGCTTTGTGTGTACTTCTTCCCGGATCCTTGCAATCATCTGAACACGCACAAGTACTCGCATTGTTTGTCTCGCGGGCACTAGAGGGCGGTGATCACAATGGCATTTGCCTCGAATTGAAAAGAAACATATCTAACTTTGATGATTATATTCTCTTTTTATTTTGTAATTACAAATGTCGGAAAGTCATTTGTAGGTCTAGATTTTAATGCAACCCTTTCAGTTTTATTCAAATGTCAGAATTTCATTAAAAGGTCTGGATAATGTACATGCGTATTCTTTTTCGATGTTAATGTTCCGTTTGTGAGGAGATTGATACTGTCAAAACATTCATTTCGGGCTGGTGAGCAATTTATTCCCCATAATATTAATTGAACATTTTTCGGATGCCTCTAACAGGTTAATACCTAATTATTACTGGATCAATCTTATCACTGTGAGTAAGAAAAAGTTATGAATAACTATTAAAATCGTGTACATGCAAATACCCTACTTTATTTACTTGCACTTAGAGACTTCGGTGTTAAGCGCTTTATAATTAACGTTTTTATTATTAATGTTTTTTTATTATTATTATTATTATTATTATGCAGGAAGTAGTCATGAATATTATGTGTTTGCATTTGCATTAAAAAAAAAGATATACAAACTTCACTTCTTGAGTAGCATGACTCATAAAAACTCTAATCGTTAAAAAAAATGGTGACGCACCGGTTATTCATAAATTCACATATTTCAATGATGTGTAAATGGGATCTGCAGGGGTATACTTCTATGAGTTGCATGGTAAGTTCATATTAACAAAAAAAAAAACAAATACAAAAACAAATAATAAAGATAATAATAAAGATAATGATAATATCGACAGCAACAACAATGATAATAATAATAACAATGATATTTGATAACAACAATGATATACAATAATGACAATAATAATTTAGAAAAGTTCTTGAATATTAATTGAAATAGGTACTATGCAACGTACGTGCTTAGGTAAGAGAGGAGTAGAATATACAGAAAAGTCGCAGGAATAATATGAAGCAATTAAATAAGTATGTTTTGATAACTAGCAGTTTCCTGAACTTGAGGCAGGTATGGTCGGTCGCTGAATAGCAATATGACATTATATAAACCAATCATTACTTCCCGACTTTATGCGTGCAGAGGACTAATCCGGGCATTAATCAGTGCACCAGTGAGTCTATCCAACGTCCCCGGCAAATATTGCACAATTCCCAAGAGGTATTTCAACCGATCACAAAACTACTTGGCTAAAGTTAGATTAAGGAGTGTTCTCTGAGTAAAATGCAGAGTAATTGATTTATGTATAGTTTTCCAGGTGAAATGGAGGAGTGATATAAGTGTAAAAATTATCGAATCAAGTAATTGAAGAATTTGCTCCGAATGATATGCAAGAATCTATATTAGAGCTGAGGAGATGACATTCTCAATTATCTCGTTGAATACTTTGAGCAGGCGCGTACGCAGGATTTTTTTCAAGGGGGGGGGGGGGGGGGGAGGGGTTTAACATTTATAAATCGGGCCGAAAATTTCGCAACGATAATAAGCGGGGGGGGGGGGGGTAAGAGGTCACTTTTTTTTTTTTTTTTTGGTCCCCAAAAAATCGCAACGACTCAGCCGACCGCTGAATAAGCGGTGGGGGGAGGGGGGGGGGGGGGGGGGAGGGGGGGGGGGAGGGGGGGGGGGGGGGGTAAGAGGACACTTTTTTTTTTTTTTTTTTTTTGGTCGCGAAATTTGAAAATTTGACCAAAAAAAAAATTCAAAAGGGGGGGAGGGTTTTAGAGAAATTTAGGGGGGGGGGTTTACACACAAAAAAATTACCAAAGGGGGGGGGGGTTAACCCCCCAAACCCCCCCCCCTGTGTACGCGCCTGACTTTGAGAAGTGTATTATGAGTAGTGAGGGAGGACAACAAAGATCATGTTGTTTTCCTCCATCTTGCAAAGGAGGATGAAGACAAAGAGAGCAGCTGATACCGGGCTGATACCAATTCCGGGAATTAAGATGGAGTCACTAGTGAATGTAGTGCACGGGGCTATTAGTGTGGTACGGTATGTCACTGAAACAGCTCCCGTAGGACTTTTGTGCCAAAATTGATTTTTTGGCATTTTTGGATTGATATGGGTCCAAGCTATCAGAAATTGATGGGGTTCAAATTTTCCCGACCCTCAACCCCTCTCTGGGGGGGGGGGGGGGGGGTAGTTTCCTATCATGAGACCCCCTAAAATTGGGTGTGTCATTCATCTAATGACTGGTTTCACAAAACTTGAGTTGTTTTCTAGAACTGTGGTTATCCCTCAACAGTGAGAAAGGTAATTTGAAGACTTTCAGTTGGATAAACCCTCCAACCAACCCATCCCCATCCCTACCCCACCCCCGTCAGCCCAATTTGCGTACCTTTGTCATTGTTCGGCCAGCCGTTTTAAGGTGTAGTACTTTTATTACCATTATCATATATATTTATTAGCCCATTTCCAAACACAAAGAGACAGAAACAAACATACAGACAACCTACATGTATACACACCTACCTCCCCCCCACACACACACACACACACGCACACACTCATGCACACACGCACACCCTTCCTCCCACACGCACATACTCACACACACCCAAACATTCACAGGCAAGTGCGCTCGCGCACACACAGCGCGCACACACTCCTACATAATATTATGCTGCTCTGTGATCATTGTTTCTAGCTCTTCTGTGGTAAAAGTTGTTTTGTTCCTTGGTCTTCGCAAGTTTGACAGAATAAAGACCCCTCTTTTGCAGTATATTGCCTGATTTTCCAAGGTTAGCATAACATATAGCCAATGGCAAATCTAGATTTTAAAATTTTATGTGATGTGGGTCTTCATTATCGGTTAGAGAAGAAGAAAATAAATTGCAAAAACAAGAGAGAACTTTATTACTCTTGATCAATCAATCAACTTAGATAGTTAAATTGACAAATTGGTAAACATTGTATGCATTGATATATATATATATATATATAAGATCATGGACCTATTACGGAAGGACATTCAACGTTATTCTTTCTTTGATCCAATGAGATCCACCGCCTTCTGATTATGTGCATCTTAATGAGAACATTCAGCTGTTTTAACAATACGACTGCTCAAGCATTTTCGGTTACTAACAAAGGAGCAGTATCCCTCTCTTGGGTTTTGTCTTCCTGATTTTGTCAAGAAGGGTGTTTACAACATTGATATCTTGGAAGACACACCCACAGGGCAAGGAACGGGACAGTGGTTGTAATCAACCAACAGGCTGTAGATGGAGAGCCAGTGAATCAACCACGTGTCATACCCGAGAAACTTTCTTCGCAAGACCTTCTAGCATTTGAGATGAATGTGCTTCCAGGGCCAGACATCAGAACTAGCCCATTGAGATTTCAGGCCTACAAGAGGAAACAAAATCTCATTTCTCAAGAATTCACTCATACCTAGGCTCTTGTGTACTACCTTACAAAAGATGACAACGGAGAAATCATCCGAACTGAACCTCAGCTGCACGATGAAGAAGCCCAGCGCAGTGAAGAGATGCCAAGTGATGCAGAGTCTACAAATGATGAGGAAAATGAGCCTTCTAGCAAGAAGGAGGAAGCTGGGTCTTCAAAGGACAGAGGGGAAACAAACTCTGTCGTGATCATCAAAAAGCAGGTGAAGAAATCAGATAAACTAGCAAAGAATGATGTTCTTCCAACATATGGGCTGCAACTAGGTCCTTATTGTTGTCTCAATCCTCTCCCGCTAGCACGCCTACAAACACAGCGGTGGTTGCCCCATTATTCAAGACATCGCCAACTGATTATGGGACCCTCTATACTGTTCTTCGGTTATCCCAGGGAATATCTGCGACTGTTGTTGGCCCTCGCAGAAAGACATTGATAACGCTAGATCTCGATCTTAACTCCGGAGCGTTGAAGATTCAGCAGTCGGTAGGAAACGCCAGCTGGAGCTCTCCACATTGCTTTCGCTGCCTTACAAAACCATCGATGGTAGCGGTCTTGACACGTGTGCTATCGAATGTGGTGCGTACACCTCAGCATCTCTTCGCAGGATCTTTGGTGGTAAAGCTTATAAGTGTGGCCTTGAATTCCACATTACTGCAAGCCTTGCAATCATGATGTTGCGTTTTGATGCCATACTATCGGATCTTCCCAAGGGTCCAATTCGCATCCAGTACAATTCTCTCAAAGAAAAACTTCATGGACGTGACCCGGAGATGGTGGAGATCTATGAAGAAATCCAATCCTGGTACTCAAGCAATGTCAAACCGCTTGAAGAAGCTGAAGACCTTGGCGAGTTTGCCCAGTTCTTGACCCGGTATTTTAACCAGGTGGAGAGTCTTCTACATATCATTAGTTCATGTCGATCAGGGGACGGGGAGGGCTACTTGTCATCACTAGAAGACCTCACCAAGTACTTTTTGCTCGTGATCTCCTGAACTATGCTCGCCTGATGCCAGTCCATCTCGCTCAAATGAATGCCCTAGAATAGGATGATCCAGAAACATGGAATGCCCTCAAGTCTGGAGACTTTGTGGTGGCAAAGTCAGAGATACCCTTTTCTCTTCTCTTCACTGATCAGGCTCTATAGAGCAAGAAATCAAGAAACTACAGGGGAATGGTGGGATGGTTAGACTCACAAGAAATGAAGCCGCTCTGGACCGACTAGTCACTACCACACCTCACCTTGCTGCTCTGGTAAATCATTACTTCAATGACTTCCCAAAAGCTACTGGAGCTTCGGTGAGGAAGGAGCATCATCAGCTCTCAGGAGACATTGCAGTGAGGTCAAAGAAGAATGCTCTGAAACTACGCCACCTAATCGAGCTGCACTGCGGAGTCAATCCTTTCAAGGAGAAGACACAATTGAAGAATCTGGTTTCATCGGCATTTGTGTCAAATGAGGCGAAAAGTGACATTCTCCACTTTGCAGAAAAGGGCCAGAAGCGCTTTGAGGAGTTTGTATCTGATCGTTTGCTTTCATC